GGGGGAGGGACCGTTAAAAACGGCAGCGCCAGCAACACACCTGCTTGGCAAATAGGTCCATGTCAAAGGCACTTAATTAAAAGAGGGACATTCAACATTTTTGTCTTTCAAATAAATCCAGCCCATTCAAACTTTTTTTTTTCTTAATTTTTTTTAATTAATATTACTGTCTTGGCTGCTAAATTACTGTCTCTGGCAGTTATTTAACTGTCGAAGACAGTAATTTAACTATTAATTGACTTTTTTTTAATATTTTAATTAATATTACTGTATTCGTTGATAAATTACTGTCTCCAACATTTATTTAACTGTCGGAGACAGTAATTTAACTGTTAATTGACTTTTTTATTCTTAAAAAAATATTTTTTATTTAATATTACTGTATTCGTTACTAAATTACTGTCTCCAGCAGTTATTTAACTATTGGGGACATTAATTTAACTGTTAATTGACCTTGTTTTTTGAAATTATTTTTCTTAAAAAAAATTATTTTAATTAATATTACTACATTGGCTGCTAAATTACTGTTTGCAACGGTAATTTAACTGTCTTAGACAATAATATTAATAGTATTACTGTTCGGGAAAATAATAATCATAATATTACTGTCCCAAACAGTAATATTACTGCTGAAGACAGTAATTTAGTAGTCAAGATAGTAATATTAATTAAAATATTTTTTTCTAAGAAAAAAAAATCAAAAAGAAAAAAAAAGTCAACGACGGAAATCCGGCGGTCGACGGCAGTTGACTGGCCGGAAAAACAATTCAAGAAAAAAAAAGTCAACAATGGAATCTGGCCAGAAAAAAAATGCAGAAAAAAAATTATTTTCTGAAAAACAAAATATTTTGGGGGTTAATGTGATATATTTGATGAAATCCGAGGTCAATGTGTAATATTAAGGAAGTTAGAGCATAATGGATGGAATTGATAAAAATTATATTATGGAGGGTATTTTAGACTAAAGCCATGGGGATGAGTTTAATTGAGAGACTGTTTTTTTTGTGGACCAATGTGCGTTTAAGTCCCATGTGATGGACGTTTTTGCCTTTCGCCCATATATATATATATATATATATATATATATATATATATATATATATATATATATATATATATATATATATTTTTTAATCTTGGGGGTCAAAGCAATAATGTTAAAACATAAAAATACACAAATTTGTAAAAGAAAACCATGAAAACATGATTGTTAAAAACATAAATTACTACAATTGACAAAACAAAAAAAAAACAAAGATATATATATATATATATATATATATATATATATATAGTGTTTCTAAGTTTCGTTAAACCCTGTATAGTAAGTCATTTGTACACAACTAGAGGAAAACAAGTAACCTCTGACAAACACTCTTTAAATAAACAAACAAACAAAAAAATTGCTGTGAAAAATGTTGGAAGGGGGGGCAGCTCATATTCTATGGGTGTAATATATGTCTATCAAGCCAACGGCATTCAGAACGAGGAATTACTTTTATAATCATCGCTGCCCAACTCATCATACTTTATCGATTTTCGAGGGATTGTCAGGGGAGAAACGGTTGTCGGGGTGAGAATAATATAGAAACAGAGCACCCATATTTTGCAACTACTCATAACTAATTAATGATCTGTACGTTATAATACTAGTAGTAGTAATCAATGTTGTGAAAACCGGACTGGATATTGACCCGGTCAAGCTATCGGGTCACGATTGGACCGGTTCAACCGGGGTTCAACCAGGTTTTTTTTATTTTTTATTTATTTATATTTAATTTATATGGTATTATTTATGCAAAAAATTACGTAAAATAGCATGTTTATATCAATATCAAATATTCCTATGAGTTAAGTATAAAACTACAATTAGCACTACAACAAACCATAAAATAACATGCAACATAAATCATAATCATCTTATAAATTAAGTTAACATTTAATTTAAAGTCTTACGTTCTACCGATAAAAAAATAAATAAAACTCAAGTCTTACTTCCAAAGCAAATATTTGAAATAAGTCTCACATTAAAATCAAATATTTAAAGTAAATAGTAATGCGTGTAAAAAACAATAAAACTAAAGTCTAACTATTTTTTTTTTAAGATTAAAACCTACTCTTGTTTAGTTTTTGAGTTGTTGAGTTGTATTAGGCTATTAGTTGGCATAAATCAAATTGCAATTGATTTCTTGTGATACAGAGGAAAAAATCCCACATTTTAACTTCGTTTTTTGCTTTTTTTTTTTTTCTCTGTGCACAAAGCGACGTCGTTTTGAGGTTTTTATTTTTTGAATTAATTAAAAACGTGTGTGTCAGCCAAAAAACTGGTTTTTAGCCGGTTTCCGGTCGGATCGGTCAAAAAACCGGTTTTTGACATTTGGACCAATTTTTTGTGATTTTCGGGTTTATAGTGCTAACCGGACCGGACAAGGCACCGGTTCGCGGTCGAACCGGCCGGTCCGGTCCGGTTTTCAAAACATTGGTAGTAACTCTATAGTTGGAATTTTATAAGCTCTGAAAATTTGGAATGGTGGATTCACTTACTTAAACCCTTCAATAGCCTGAAGGACAATCCGTGTTGAAATTATCGCCTAGACTTTAGATTAACATATCCTGTTGAGTGGATTAAAAGTTAATCACCAAATTACAAGACTTAATATAATTAAATAAAATACAAAAAGTATATGACAGGTGAAAAGTCAACGTTTGAAAAATGAAGTTGTGTTCGGAAAAACATACTTACGTATACACTTTACCCATCTCTAATTTGGTTCGATATCATTTTACCCATATTCTACTATTTGATGTCATTTTACCTCTACTCTACTCTACTCTAGATTGTGATACGATATATATTTAATATATCGTATATTTATTCGTTAGTTATTATTTTATTATTTAATATATTATTGAAGTATTATTTTAATTAATAGTTTATAGATTAGTATATTTAGATATATATATGGCCGTGAGTTAGGAGATTAGTTAGGAGATTATTTAGTATTTAATTAGTATAGGTAATTATCTTTCCTAGTTAGATTAGGATTCTAGGGTTTTATTATCTTTAAATAGTCGTTTTGTGCTAGGGTTTTATAATGAAGAGAAATAATAAACAAGAGTTTTCTTACGTTCAGTAAAGAAATCTTATGATACACAAGAGATCGCATCAATTGGTATCAGAGCGAAGTTGCGATTAACACCAACGCTTCGTTAGCAAGGCAGCGATTATATCAAAGCTACGCTGGAGCAAAGTTGAGATCACATCAAAACTTTGTGAAATCATGATGTCAGAAACAAGACGGTTGGAGCGATTGGAAAAATCCGTAGAGAAATTACGAATTAATTTTCAGAAATTGCTCGAACAAAGTCAAGGACGACGTCAACGCCATCACAAAAGCCGAAGGGACCGCCGCCCATCACCACCGCTGCCGCTGCCGAGCCTATCGCCGGAGGAAGAGGAAGAGGACGACGATGAATTTTTCAAAGAGCCACCGCAGCCGCCGCTGCCGAGCCTATCGCCGGAGGGAGAGGAAGAGGACGACGATGATTTTTTTGAAGAACCCCAATTTTTTGTGAGTTCGTCGAAAGATGAATTATCGGATTCACTTGAGGTAATTTGGGACGAAGACGAGGAATTAACTAAGGAAGAGAACGAAGAACTACAGTGGATATTGGGAGATTTACATGGTGTGCAAAAGAAAGGAGACGAACAAGATTTGGTGACTTTGAATGAGCCCGGATCTGTAAAGACGATTGAGAAAAATAAAAGCATGATATTGATTGTGAAGGAGATGAAAATTGAAAAGGCAATTGAGAAGGTCGATTTGTCGGGAAAGAGATTGAGAAATTTAATTCGGGCAGATTGGTTCATCTTTCGAAAAGAGCTCGATTTTTCATCGTGTTTTTTGGAATTAATTTGGAAGCAAGTCGATGAACAAATCGATGAAGTCAAACATAGGTGGAAACGCAAGGGAGAGGGACCAAATTGACTCGAACCTTGAGGACAAGGTGCATTTCAAGAGGGGTGGTTTGATACGATATATTAATATATATCGTTTAATTATTAGATAGTTAGTATTTTTATTATTAATTAATTAGAATAGTTTGTTTAGGTTTATATAGATAGCCGTGAGTTTAGTATTTAGGATATATATTAAGTATTTTATTAGTTTAGGTAATTATCTTTCCTAGTGAGATTAGGATTCTAGGGTTTTATTATCTTTAAATAGTCGTCTTGTGCTAGGGTTTGATAATGAAGAGAAATAATAAAGAAGAGTTTTCTTACGTTTAGTACAGAAATCTTATGATACTCAAGAGATCGCATCAATTGGTATCAGAGCGCAGTTGCGATTAACACCAACGATTCGTTAGCAAGGCAGCGATTACATCAAAGCTACGCTGGAGCAAAGTTGAGATCACATCAAAACTTTGTGAAAATCATGATGTCAGAAACAAGACGGTTGGAGCGATTGGAAAAATCCGTAGAGAAATTACGGATTAATTTTCAGAAATTGCTCGAACAAAGTCAAGGACGACGTCAACGCCATCACAAAAGCCGAAGGGACCGCCGCCCATCACCGCCAACGCCACCGCTACCATCACCACTGCCGCTGCCGAGCCTATCGCCGGAGAAAGAGGAAGAGGACGACGATGAATTTTTCGAAGAACCCCAATTGTTTGTGAGTTCGCCGAAAGAAGAAGAATCGGAATCAACTGAGATAAAGTGGGACGACGAGCCGAAAGAAGAATTATCGGATGCACTTGAGGTAATTTGGGACGAAGACGAGGAATTAACAAGGGAGGAGAACGAAGAGCTACGATGGATATTGGGAGATTTCAATGATCTTCAAAACAAAGAAGACGAAGGAGTATTGACGATTTTCAAGGAGATTAAGAAATCTAACATTGCTATTGAGAAGATTGAGGTATCACTAAAAGTGTCAAATATTTCCTCGATGATGTTTAATGAATTGTTTGACCATAACAAACAATACGTTAAAGAGTCAACGATGGTGGAGACATGTGATGAAGTAGTCGATCAATTGATTGAGATTCGTGTTCTCAGCATCCTACATGAGAACAAATTATTTTTGAAGAAATTGGATGGCATCAAGCATAGATGGAAGCGCAAAAAAGAGAGAGCTGCAAATATTCGAACCTGCAAATATTCGAACCTTGAGGACAAGGTTCATTTTATCTTTCCTAGTTAGATTAGGATTCTAGGGTTTTATTATCTTTAAATAGTCGGAGTTTTCTTACGTCCAGTAAAGAAATCTTATGATACACAAGAGATCGCATCAATCTGTTGGGCCCCCATCGGGATAGCACGAACTCCACATTGGTATGATATTGTCCAGATTGGGCCGGGCCCAACTGGTTTTGCTCTTGGGTTTCCCCAAAAGGCCTCATACCAATGGAGTTACTATCCCCTCCTTATAAACCATAGATCTTTCCCATATTAAACCGATGTGGGACATTGTTTGCACCTCAACAATCCTCCCCTCGAACAAAGTACCACATAGGTCGGACCACAAAGTACCACCGAGCCTCCCCTCAATTTGCGCCTGGGCTCACACCACCGAGCCTCCCTCCTGGAGCTCGTCGAGCCGCCTTCATTTGCGCACCGGGAGTTCACCATTTTTTGTTCGGCACCGAGGATTCGGGAATTTCCACAACTTCCACCACATGGTTAGGTCTGGGCCATGGCTCTGATACCACTGTTGGGCCCCCATCGGGGTAGCACGAACTCCACATTGGTATGATATTGTCCAGATTGGGCCGGGCCCAACTGGTTTTGCTCTTGGGTTTCCCCAAAAGGCCTCATACCAATGGAGTTACTATCCCCTCCTTATAAACCATCGATTTGTCTTTCTAGTGAAAAATGTGTCTCAATGTGGCTCTCGCCGTTAGTTTTCAACATTTGAGCGTAACACCGTTTGATCTTAGCTCTGAAATTACAAAAAAAAAACCGCGCCTCCCAGTTTAAATAATTATAAAAAAGAAAAAGGAAAAAAAAAAAAAAGAGAAATCGAGGACGAAGGAGGCAGCAGCGGTGCGATAGCAGCGGTGGAGGGAGGTTGGATTTTTCGGAGAAGGTTGAAGGATTTAGGTGGAGAGGTGGAGAATAGAGGAGATGAAAGTGATAGATGTGGACACAAATAATTAGGATTTGAGGTTATAGTAATTGAGGATATATTTATCTTCCCCCATTAGTTCAAGGGATCTCACTGATTTAGAATGAAACTTGGGTGTAAACAAAAATCTTTAAGAGTGCGTTTGGATTGAGGGATTTGACGATGATTTGATTTGGGAAAATAATATGAAATGACTCCAATTTGGAGTCATTTAAAATCCACCTTAAGTGCTCCAAAATCAACTAAAAAAGGAGAGGAGTGGATATGAAATCCATCTCCAAATTCCTCAATTCAAACAAGTCCAATGAATTTTTTATTATAGATTTGAAATCCTTTCCCCAAATCTCTCTATCTAAATGCACCCCAAATTCAATTGAATTTGGTTCAAAATATTTGTGGGCATGGCATATTTCACCATTGTTTTTACCGCCTTGAATTTATCAGAGAAATTACTTGAGCTTGACTTTGTCAACGCCAGTCTCATTCACTAACAATTGACTGTGTGCGGTACGGGTGTACCTTTCTATATCTATTTATCATCATTGCCTCATTATTGGTCGTATGTGACATGTATTTTTGAATTTTTAAGCAATATAATGAATTAGCCTTTGAAGCTTGGACATAATTACACACCAATGACAAGTAAAAATTAAATAAATAAACTCTTATGGTAATGACAAATATAGAATGAGCATGTGTCCGGTTTGTTTAGAAAGATTCAACTAAATCACGTTCATACGCAAATCGTTGCAATAAGTTTACGACTTTGAAGTTTTATAACATCGGACCCATTTGTGTGTGACGTTTTAATTCATCACACGTTGAAATGGTAAGTTTAATGTGTGAATTCGGTGTAAATGAATTGAGTTGAATTTATTTGAGGTACTAGTCAGCTTGAACTGGATTGCTGCCCTTCATCGTTGGAAGGAATCTGGTGATGTCGAATGAGTTTGTTACTTATGAATAATGGACATTGTGCATATTATTATTAAGAATATTGAGGGATGCTATTTACTTATTCTCACACTCGTTTGCAAAATAAAGTACATTACATTACAAGAAAAAGAAATTAATAGTAATTCTAATTGTGAAAGTATGTTAAAAATACCGAAATGCAAAGAAAATTATGAAAACATGGTTACTAGAAAAATTCAAAACATGAAAAATTAAAATATACAAAACAAAAGAAATGTTCAAATCCTGAAAAAAAAAACCCCGAAGCAAGTAACCTCTGGCAAACACTCTCTAATAATATTAAATTGATTCTTAATCAAAAAAAAAATGAATTGAACTCATCTGTACACAACTAGAGGAAAACAAGTAACCTCTGACAAACACTCTTTAAATAAACAAACAAGCAAAAAAATTGCTGTGAAATAAATTGGAAAAAGGGGGCAGCTCATATTCTATGGGTGTAATATATGTCTATCAAGCCAACGGCATTCAGAACGAGGAATTGCTTTTATAATCATCGCTGCCAAAGATTGTATACTTTTAAAAAATAAATAAATTAATAACAAATAAAAATGAAAAAATAGTGAAGTGTATATGAAAGTTTCAAGAATCGGAGGAAAATGAAATACGTACAGAGGTTTAATGAGAAGTAATCGGCGGTACGAGGATTTATAGAGGGGAAGCAAAATGATGGGCTTTCTTCAAAACCCTAATCTTCGATAGTGAGCGAAATTTAATTAGACATACTATTGGGCTTTCTTCTAAAATTTTGACTTCAAATCATAGTTGCTACTTGCTATTATTTGCCCTTTCTTTCTTTTTATTTTCTCTTGTTTTCTTTTAATTTTATCATCTTATATATAAAATAAAGAAACGCTAGGGTAACCTAAGACATCCTAATGGCATATTCATAAAAATAATTAATTTATGTGTATATATATTTTTTTACCTCCTACTAGTAATTCAACCGCGCGATGCACGTGATGGATTTAAAAAAAAAAACTTATTTTGGATAAAATAAAACGAACGAAAACTTTGAACAGTTGACATACATGTAAATAATACCAAAAAAATGTTTTATTGAATCAAAAAATACATTTGTCTGTGATTTACTTTCATATTCGCGGAAAATCTTTCGTGCACACAACATTGCTTGTAATTTTACTTATATCGCCCGATTCTGAGTTGACTAATATATTTATCTCAAATCTATTTTTAACTCTGGACATTGCGGCGTACAATTTCCCGTGCTACCCTAATATTAGCACTAATATTACACTAACAACAACTACTACTACTAATACTAAAACCAACATTGATAATACTAATACCAATACTAATATTAATACTGAAACCAACTCTAATAATACTAATATTAATACTAATCGTAATATTAATTCGATGATTAATACTAATACTCTAATACTAATATTAATATCAACACTAATATTAATTAATAATAATACGACAATTCTAATACGAATATTTAATGTTTAAATTAATAAGCCAATACTAATACTAATACTAATACTAATACTAATACTAATACTAATACTAATACTAATACTAATACTAATACTAATACTAATATTAATACTAATACTAATACTAATACTAATACTGTTAGAGTAGGTGACCGAAGAGGCAACTATAAAATTAATTACATTAATTTCAAAATAATTATAGGACCTCAACTAGTATAAATCTATCAAATAATGTTGAGGTACTATTAATTAAGTTGAAGTATAATCAATATTATATGTGTGTTCTATTAATTAAAATCAATTCAACAATTTAAATTAATTAATTAATATAACACCTATTTACTAAAATAGATGATTGTTGATTCGATTATCTAATTGGGATTAACTGAAAATAATTTTCTGAAAATTAAAATAAATTTGTTTAAAGTTTAATTTTAGAAATCTGAAATAATGTTCTTTTTCAGTGAACCGGTTCTGACCGGTCCAGTTGACCCAAATCAGTGGGCCGGGTCAGTCAGACCGAGAACCGGTCTGACCGACCTGAATCCACGTGGATTCCGTCAATTGGATTGAACATAACCATCGAACCGGCCGGTTCGACCGGATTGATCCGAATTAATTTAAACCGACATTTTAAATTAAATTTCAGATCTGATTTTCCAATTTTAAACGATTTTAAAGCTGGAAAATTCTAAACAATATTTCAAAAATATTTTAATCTTTTCGAAAACTCCCAATTACATAATATAACAATCACTACTTTAATAAATCGAACATGCATAAAAATAATAGCATATTTAAAACGCAGTTAATTGCGCAACGAGCTTTGATACCACTGTTGGGAATCGGACACGTGTACGCAGCGGAAAACAAAAATTTTATACGAATTAAACGAATTTAAATCACATAATCACATGCTCGATAATTATAAACAATTAATTGCGTACCTTTGCGCTTCCAGCGAAATTAAAACAACATACATGTGAATTATCTAATCAACATTAAATCAATTAGCATGCTCGCATTAAATCAATTAATCATGCTCGCAGTAAATTACGAATTTCATGTAATCACATAATACATATAAATTCATACAATATACTTACGATACGAACATACATATTTAATCTAAATTAAATCAACGTCGAATAACTACGGATTCAAAACTTTAACTCTTGAAGTGTGAGGTAGGCGCACGAAACGAAACAAGATTGCCAAGGAAACCAATCCATGCAATCTGGGATCGGCCACGACGAAGCGGCAGCGGCGATGGCTTGAGCAACGGCGGCGCGTGAGGATCACACGCTGTCTTCGGGCGGCGCGTGGGAGCGCGTGCGTCGTTTGCTCGGGGCTTGCTCCTCGATTCTTCGATTCTTCGATCTTCCTCCTCTCGGATTTTACCTCGTATACTTCGATCTACTAAAACGTGGCACTAGACACGTAATAGATAGAATAAAACAGAAGAAACGAAAAGATAAAAGAACTACCAAGATAATTGGCCGAGGGGTAGCCGATTCCGGCGAGTTGACGGCGGCGACGGCGGTGGTGGCCGCGGGAGAGATTGGCCGAGAGAGAGAAGTGAGCGGCTAGGGTTTCGTGTTAGGGTTGTTTTTGTGCAAGACCTATTAATCAAGTACTTATAGTGTCTTGTATAAAAGCCCTAACATGCTTAAGTATTTATAGGTTCTTGTATAAAAGCCCAACAACTTAAGCTCGTTAGTTCTTTACTCGCTCGTTTCTCTCAATTCAATGATCGGAAAATTGTAACGATTATATTTTCGGAATCATTATAATGTCCTCGTCATTATGAGTGCCAATTCTCGATTTCCAACTTTCTAAAAGTGGAAACCCTAATTCAGTGCACTTTCTAAATTTGGAAACTTCCCGATTTAGAAAGTCCACTAAGATGTTCACCTATTCTTTTCCTTTTCTTATTCTCATTCATAATTCCAAATTACGAATGTTGGACCCAATCATATTGAATTCCAATCATGCAAAGATAAAACAGTTTTTTATATCTGACCGTTTATTCAAAGATCTCATTTGCACGAGCAGTGTGACCCTCGATGGTTCAGGTGTAAGCTAGCCATAGGCCCACAACCCTTTGTGGTCAAAAATTGTCCCTTAGAGTTACGACTAAGATGAAGCTCGTTTCACCTTAATCACCCAACGAATCAAGATTGGCGTCTAGCAACTACGCGTCATGATTCCCTAGATACAAATGAAGTGCCTGCAAGAACCTTTTGATATAGTTAACGTACACTATGTCCCGATTGAACTAGAGGCATTGGTTCATCGAGACCTCGTTAGTAGTTTAATGACTGTGCGGTCGTTCTAAGTGTTGTAATCGTTACGTGCATGACTTAGAGTATCGAATACTCTAATCATCACTTAGTCAGCTCTGGCGAGAGACTTTAGAGATTAGAAACTGTGAGAAAACACAGGACATCCAAGACTATTCTAGCGATCGAATCCCCGACTACAATGCACATACCATCACTAGATTTCAGGCTGCACGAACACTGGCCCTTGAGGTGGTCCTCGGTGGAACTCAGGGACAGGTCACGATACAACTGGTCCTCTAGTGAAGTCACGGTGATGTCTAGGTCATACGGCCTAATGGTGTACAACTATACCATAGATATCTCTACTCGATTATTGAGAACTACTTAGAGATTTTTCGGGTGAGGGAGTTCAGTGAACTCGTCAACTTACGAGCACCCACTTATGCATGCTTATATCACAATACCGTTTACTGATGAGATGCACTACACATACAATAAGTGCTAGTCTCTTAATGGGAAAGGCCGATATCTTCATTGGTGGAGTAACCCTTCGACTAGGAACACGTTTAACAGTTATAATACTAAAGTAAATATCTCACGATCACTAACGATCAATTACTAGTACTTGTAATAACTGTAAGGACTATATCTATGGTTGTGACAAAGATACAAAGATATAGAATGCCAAGGTGTTTTTATCATTAATACGAAAAATGTTTATTTATTACAATAATAAATGGAAAGACCACAGCCACAAGTTGGCTTGTTGGTCACCTACTCTAACAGGCGTAGAGGCGCGGTAAAAAAATTCTAATTGCACAAGGAAACTACCTTCTTCTCCAAATTATCCACCCTATATAAGACCAATTCAAGCACACAATTGACCCCATCTCTTACACAATTTCAAGAGCAAAGAAGCAATAACGAAGACGAAGGATTCGAAGACTCCAAACATAGATTTATCATCTATGGTTTATTTTACTTGCGTTTTTTCTTTAATCATGAGTAGTTAATTCGTTTATTTCTAGGATTTTATTTTGAACCTTATGTGGGACTTATGAACCCAATTCTATAATTTTATGCAAGTTTTAATTCTGGATTATTTCTTCTACTTATTTTATTAAGTGCATGAACTTGATCACTTTATCTGCTTTTATGTTATTGTTAATCGCAAGAATCGGAAGATCAGGTTAATAATTGGAACTGTAGTATAAGAGTTTTGTGGTATTAACATAGGAATATAGTTAATCTTTTAAGTAGCCATTATTGAGATTTGATGCTGTGTTCTGAAATTAATTGCGTAGGAATACAATAATTGAATCTAGAGTATTAGAATCGTAATACACGCGGAAGCGGGTTATGATTAATTTAGCATCTCGGGCTAATAATCCGAGTTAATTACTTGCATAATTGAAGGAATGGGGGGTTTAATAATCACATAGGGGGAAGAATAAAATCCTAGACTTGTTTCTCTGTTTAAATCTTCGTTTTTCATTGTTTTCTTGTTCTTGTCTTTTTAATTTGCTTTAATTTAGTTTAGTTAATTTAGTATAATTGTTTATCATTCGACTGTGTATGGTGGTGGGCTTGATAAGAATTTGTAGGATTTAGCGTCTAGAATTAAATAGTTAACTATTCTCTGTGGGATCGATACTTGGACTTAAAAATCCATTATATTACTTGTACGATACATGCACTTGCGTGTAGGTATTACACCCAACAAGACTTTGGTGCCGTTGCCGGAGAATATTTTAATTATTTATTTTATTCTAGCTCTAAATTTGAACAATTTTCACGATTCACCCAATTTTAATTTTAATTTTATTTTTGTTTTAGGTACTGTTTTATGCGCAGGAGACTCGATCTCGAAAAAGAACCGTTTGATCCCGAAATCGAACGTACTTTTCGAGCCGCTAAAAGACTTCAACGCGCAAATAATATAATGGAGGACGAAGAACGCAGAGACGCAGAGGGTTATTTACTCGATGCGAACGGAAACCAAATCCAAAACCAACCCCCACGACTTCCACTACAACCAGCAGCTATGCCACGGGCACTTCAGGACTACATAATACCGACTCTTGACGGATTCAGCCCGCGCATCCAATATCCACCCATTGAAGAGCATAATTTTGAGATCAAGAAAGGCCTCTTGACGATGCTCGAAAATAACGATTTATTTATTGGATTGGCAGTTGAAGATCCCCCATCTTCACATTGTCAATTTTCTCGATACCTGTAATTATCATTGTCAAAACGGCATTTCCCAAGAGGCGCTCCAATTAATTCTCTTCAAGCACTCACTAGAAGGAAGAGCTCGCCAGTGGTTGATGTCCCAAGCCCCCCATTCTATCTCATCATGACCTCAACTCCTAAACCTTTTCATGAAAGTTTACAGCTCACCAGAGAAGGACAAGAAGATCAAGGGGAGCCATTATTCGAGGCATGTGAAAGATTCAAGACCCTTTTGAGGCAGTGCCCAACACATGGAGTAGAGCAATGACGGCAAATCAAAATCTTCTACCAAGGAATTAATGAGAATGCGAGAATCGTTTTAGATGCATCAATCGGGGGTAATTTTATGAGTCAATCAATACCTGATGCATTTATTATGTTGGATCAAATTGCACAAAACAGGTTTGCTAAATCAAGCGAAAGGACGGTTAGTGGAGCCAAGAAAGTTCCCGGAGTTTTGGAGTTAGATGCAATTGCGGCCCTTCAAGCTCAAATGACCCAAGTTGCTCAAAAAAATCAACTCCTGCTCCAACACATCAAAGTAATCCACCACAGCAAGTCCAAGCCGTGGATTCTCCATGCTGTGAAATTTGCGGTGGAACTCACTATACGCTCAAATGCCAGCAAGGTGTGGAGTCGCTCAACTACGTCAACAATGCGCCTCGCCAATTCTTAAATCAAGTGTGGAGATCACAAGGGCAATACAGAGGAAATCAACAAGGCCAATGGTATCAAAGACCTCAAGGTCAATTTCAAAATCAAGCCTCTCCTCAACAAAGCTATCAAGGCAACAATCTACCATCCCAAAAATCAAACACGGAAGAAATATTGGTCGAATTTATGACCGCTACTCAAGCCTCGCTGCGAAATTTGGAGACTCAATTGGCACAACTAGCACCGAATCAAGAGAACCGCCCGACAGGAGCATTGCCATCGAATACGAAGATCATCGAAAGCAAAAGTTAGAGACGTGCCAAGCTATCGATATAAAGATCAATGAAAAATAAGAAATTCAAAGGCAACCGCAAGTCACTATAGCCGAATGGGTGGAACCGATCCCATATCCCCAAAGATTGAGAAAGAAAAAGATCAAGACCGAGACTTGCCAAGCGGTCACCTTGAAGAATGGTAAACAATTGGAGGAAGCCCCACGAAAAGAGAAGAGAAACACGGTAATGGAGAAGCTGACAGTGATTGAGGAGAAGGAATCAATTCAAGAAGAACCGCCATCAACAATGATTGCACGAACCCCACCAATTCCATATCCTCTAAAGTTTCTAAAGAAAAAGCTCGATGCCGAATACCAAGGTTTTTTGGACAAGTTAAAGGAAATTAACATAAATATTCCATTCATTTGAAACACTTCAAAAGATGCCAAAGTGGGTCGTGACAAAGGGGAAGAAATTGCAAGGGAATGATACGCGTAAAACCTACGTATGAAAAACCGCAAGTGTACAGTATCGCGTTTTGTAGAATAGTGAATTCCAGATATCGATCCACAGGGAATTAAGTTCCTAAATCTACCAAGTACCGTAGTTATACTATCCTAAACTTTATCTAGACGGGAGAAAAAGATGGGAGATGACATGAAGCCAAAAGGAAACAAAAATAATAAAAACAACGGTCCGCCAGGATAAACGAGGAATTCCGACGTGTGATGGCTTCTAGGGTAAAATCCACCAGTGTACTATCGATAAAGATCTACAAATCCGAATCTATTGTCAATTCTACGTTCGCTAACCCAGACACTAAAATACCCTAACCCCCGTCTCCAGTGTAGTTAGAGTCTACCCACAGGTCCGACGTCTCCGTTCAGAACCTGATATTAAGAGAGCATTTAGGTCAAGTCCTTAAGGGCTACCCGAGGTGCATCACGTCTCCGTTTCCACAACCCGAGCTATGCTTTCCTAAAATCAAACGAGAAATCCTCTCTCGAGTTCATTCCCATTTAGAATCAATTCAACTGTTGGCCAAACAATCGAAAGCATTTAATACAGGAAAACATAAACAGAATCAAAGAACGACAAACAGATCACAGATCTGGAAATCAAAATCAATATATACAAGGTTTCATTTCCCTAAAAGAAAATGCTCAGTTCATTACAAACATAACATCAAAATGAAGAACACGAGAAATTATAACTAAACGTAAAGAAAAGCTTATGAAAAACCCGAGTCGAAACCCTCGTCGAAGCTTCCCGCGAAGAACTGGCGAGAACCGAAGAGAAAACCGAAGAAAATACGAAGACGAGTCGAGAGATAATCGAGATATCGAAAAATGAAAAGGAGACCTTCTATTTATAGTTAGATATCAAAGAAAAATATCTAGTCTCGATTTCTGTGCCCAGATCGCGATCTGGGTTTCTTGGATCGCGATCTGGCAACCTCGAAAACTGCGCACCGCCTTCCAGATCGCGATCCAGGAAGTGCGGATCGCGATCTGCCCCAACTTTTCGCTGCTACTGGAATTTGCCACCAGGTCGCGATCCGGTGATTCTGGATCGCGATCTGGCCTCTGCATCAACTTCAAACACCTTTTTCACCCCTTTTCAGTCCGAATTCGACAATTGTGCATTTCACAAAAGTTGTAGATATTGAAGTTAGCTGTCTAAGGCCACTTGAATCAGCTCAATCGGAGGTTGTATGCAAAAGTTATGCTTGAAATACCAAACACTGCCACAATCCGCGAGAATGCACTTTTGCACGTGTTTGGTTTGATTCTCGGCTTCGCTTCCAAAATCGTCTCGAATCGGCAAAAATAGCTTATCTTTACCTAAAATATAAATAAAACAAAAACAACATAATATATACAAATAAAGCCGAAAACTCGGACGAACGAAGACCAAAACTCGAAGAATTGATAAGTGAAAATCATGCAATATGAACACTTATCACACCCTCAAACTTAGATCTTTACTCGTCCCAAGTAAATCAAAACAAAACAACAACAACCCAAAAACAAAAATGACGAAAGCAAAAAAAACTAAACCTAGGCCACTAACGTAGGGAAACACGATTGCATTTAGCGTATGCAACAAGCCGTTGAACCCCTGGGTACCCCCAAAGGACGAGTTGTGTCTCGTGAGGGTTTTTAGACAACACACCCACAAAGTTGCCGGATTGGTCAAAGCATTGCAATCAATTCGAAAGATGAAACGAGCTAGATAACCTAAAATCTTAGAATGGCATACGGCTTATGGTATTCGACTTTCTTACCGACGCAATTAGTTGTTTCTACACCAAAATGAAAGATAGACTCAAGAATCCGTAATTAAACAATAAACACAATGATCGAGGGTTTTGAGTAGAAATGTGGGTGAAAAGTAAGTTTTGATTCAGAAATTCAAAAACTCGAGTTGGGCATAAGTAGGTCTATTTATTCAAATAAAAGAAATGACAACTACAATATTTTTGGTGATTTTCATCACAACTTTTTTCTTTTTTCATGTTTTTTGAAACGGGCATAATCGTGACTCGTGCAAGGCCCGACACCACTGTGTTATCTCCCTGACCCATTTATCGAACTTTAGTCCAAGAAACCCCAAAGCTCGACAACTCGGGAGACTTAGGCGACGAGGTGCACCCAACGGGTTAAGCTCGAGTCAGAAAGGCGGGGAAATCAGAGCGTGAATCACAACAATACCACAAATTATAATTTTTCTCTCTTTTTTTTTTTTTTTTTTTTTTTTAAACATCGAACATAAAATAAAAACGTAAAGACCATTGATAGAACTTTTAGCCAACAACTGGAAATCGTGAACACATAATTCAATTCTAACTCGCCCCCCAGACCTTAGACTATTATACCCCTCAGAAAAGTGCGCTCAAGCTTAATCGGAAAGGATTCGAAAGGCTATCCACACAAGTTGCAAAAACGCAGTCGGAAGGTACATCTATAATTAGCCGGTTATCCATAATTTCAATTTTAAAATCAACTAGCCCATCTACTAATTCATTAATTGCTTTGCTTCAATAGAATCCGGAAATGCAACTTACACTCGATCCTATATGAAATGCATGTGACAAACATAACACAATTACAAAAATCGAAATACATAAATAAAACTAAATTATATGATATGCATGCAAAAGACCAAATCAAAATTAGCTAAACTCCCCCCAAACTTAAATCATGCATTGCCCTCAATGCGAAAAATAAAAGAAAGGAGAAAGAAATACGCCCTGAACAGTCGTGCCGCAGATTGATCAGTGTTCTACGGTTGCGAAAGTGTTCTTTGGTTGCACGGGGTGCCGTCAATTTTGGCACCGAGGGCGAATTGCCAGAATTGCCTAGACTTCCCGACTTCTTACTCTTCTTTTCTTGGGGACGAGATACCGGCAAAAATCAAGAAAAATGGGTGAAATTTAGCTTTAAACCAAAAAATGCAAAAATAAAAGAAAACTAACAAAATAAATGACAAAAAATAAATAATGGGTTGCCTCCCATTCAGCGCCTGTTTTACAGTCGACGGCTCGACACGATTTGGACGGATTATGTCCAATCCAAATCCTTGTAGATTGCGCATCCATCCGTCAGTCTTGATACATACTTTGCAATCATATCATGGACTAGATTGCAATCTTGTAATGACCATCCCAACCCATGGTACTTTTCGTTTGCTTGGGAAATCAGTCGGTAGGAGACTAGGATGGGTTGCTTGCCTACCGATCTCTCAAACTCATACACAAGATATTCGAGCTTTGGAGTAAGCTCTACCTCAAATTTGATGCTCATCTCCTCAGGCATAATCAAATCCGGAGTTACAATGTGGATAGGATTTTCTTCGTCAAATTCCGCATCTACCAACATCTCCATCACACTCTCATCACACGCAAAAGTATCTACAGAACTGGGATGAATAATTCCCTCAAGGTTCTCAGCCTCGTCGTTCATACGAAAATCTGTAAATACCTCGTTGTCGTCGTATTGGATGGTTGAATGTGGTTTGGGACTGTGACATCTCTGAAAATTTTCGAAAATATTTGCCAGAAAGTGGAGTTCGTCTT